TCTACAGTGCACGGTACAGCCCCAGTCTCCCAACAAAGAATTACATGGCCCAAAATGTCAGTAGTATCAAGGTTGAGAAATCCTGTGGAAATCTTGGCAACCACAGTTGCTCCACGGTTAATGATTTCAGAGCCAAACTGGCAATGTAATGTGTGACCCCTTGATTAAAACGTATTGGTTACCATCTCATCATCATCACCATTAATCCAGCTGTTATGTTTCTCACTGTCTACTCCTAGTAGAGGAGGCTAAGAATATTAATTTTGATTTTATGGAACTGGCAAGGGAAATAGAAAAAAATAGTAGTATTTTTAAAGCTTAAGTCGTAAAATTGAAAGGTTTTGGATCTTAGTGGAGATTAACAAGAAAGGAACAAATTTAGAGTGCTGACCTCTCAGGTGAGAAATCTTAGTCTTTCCTCATTATGTTTTTTCTCCAACCTAATCATTCTTGGCCTTGTAAAAATAAATTTTATGGGAGAAAATTAATCTTAAATTGTAAGGGAAAAATACAGATGCAACTTTCATAAAGTAACATCCTGTCATTTGATTTCTGTGCCCCTCTACTACTAAAAGGAACATAGTATATTTGTAAGCTTTGTTTATTTAGAACTTTGTGGCATTTTCTGAGAATCTGGGACTACCACAATGGTGGCAACATCAGACTGGATATTATAGATTTAAGCTGCATTGTAAGCCCTCCTCTCCCCCGTTTTTTTAAGGGGTAAAAAGAAATTTCTAAATTAAGTGATTGTTTATTTACTTTTTTTTTTATGTTAAGTGAAATAAGCCAGGCACAGAAAAAACACTGCTCAAAGACAGAAAAGCAACAATTACAATAATACCTGAACTTTCAAAAGGAGAGAACAGAACTGTGATTACTAGAGATGGGAAAAGGGGAGGAGGGATAGCGAGAAATTTAAGGGTCACAAACAATGATTACGTTTTGTAATGGTGCATATACTCATTCTGATTTAATCATCACATATTGTACACAGGTATTGATATTCAACTCTGTACCTCACAAATTTGTATAATCAATTATGTTTCAGTAAAAACGAGTAGATATTCAACTGCTGTTTCTTCCTCCCCCAAAATGAAATTTCTAAATAATAGTTGAAATAATCTATGAAAAGTATAATATAAATAAATTGTTATATACATTTGGATAAAATATATCCTTTTCTGTAAAAAACTTTTACATTAGCCTAATATGTCTTACAATGTGTCTACTTCCTTTGGTATTACTAAGTCAGGTAAAAGTTTTGAGAGAGAATAGGTGTTTAATTTATTTGGATTTTTCTGAAAATCCTTGGGAGGTATTATTATTGATTGATTGACTTTTGGCGGCTGGCCAGTACGAGGATCTGAACCCTGACTTTGCCATGATAAAGACATACTCTAACTGAGCTAACCAGCCTATTTTTTATTTAATGGATGTAAAATTCTAGAATCTTTTAGAAGATTGGAGGAAGGCATTTCAAGTCCTTTAGCTTTGTGAGGTAGGTTTTCTATGTATTTGAAACTGGGTGTTTCCAAGCCCAGTTATATTACAGATTTTTTTAAAACCTTAAAATTGCCTATTTTTAACTTCAGAGAGTATCTGGTAACTGTTAAGCTTTTTTGTGAAGTGATGCATGTGTGAAGCATACTTCAAAGAAAGTAGCACTTAATAAATGATAAATGAATCTGAATCTTATTTGGATCTACTGTTCTAACAGAAATTAAACTATTGAGAAAAACCTGAGAATAACATTTTCAGTGCATTCAACTTATGGTAGCCTAGTATTGAAAAATTAGAAATATTTGGAAGTGCATCCAAATAATGGAGTTTGTAACAAAGAGAATTATAAGCAGGGTTGAGAAATGGAAGTCCATTTTTTCTCTGATAGATGAGTTTTAGGATGGGATGCGAGTCATCCACATTGATTACTATATTGGATATGCCAGTTTTTAATCTGGCAGAGAATATGTTGAATCAAGGAGTTATTTGCAAAAGATGTGAAGATGTCAGCTGAGCCACTGATTCTTGCTATATCCTTATTTTCCTGTTTTCACCAGATCTGAATTAGAGAACAGTAACTTGGATTACCTCCTTTTAACATTTCAGTCCATCGCTTTTAACATTTTAGTCCTAAATATGTATCTGCTTGGATGTCTCAAAGGTAACTTAAACACAGCATGTCCATAATAGAACTTGTGATTGTCCCTCCCCAAACCTGTCCCTCTTACAGTGTTTTCTGTCTCATTGAATGTTACCATCATCTTACCCTCTTATACAAACTGGAAACCTAGACATTATTGTCACTTGCCTTTTCCTACAATCTAGTCCAGCATGGTTAATTAAAAATGTGAGCCACATATAATTTTAAATGTTCTAGTAGCTACATTAAAAAGGTAAAAAGAAGTAGGTGGATTAATTTTAATATATTTAACTCGGTATATCCAAAATCTTTTTTTTTTTTTTTTGGCAGCTGGCCGGTAATAAGTATTAAATCGCAGACCATGGTGTTATTAACATCACTCTCTAACCAACTGAGCTAACTGGCCAGCCCCAGTATATCCAAAATCTTATTTCAACATATAATCAGTGTTTTAAAATTGTGATAATTTACTTTTTTAAATTCTTTCTCCTCCTGTCTCAGCTGCCATCCTGATATAGGTTCTTGATAACTTCTTGCCCTCCTCTCCTCAGTTCACACTATAGTCAAAATGATCTCTAACAAACTCTCTCTACCTACCCCTCCTCTCTCTGCCACTCCTGTCATCATTTATTCATCCTTCTGATCTTATTACTTCCTCAGGTAAGCCTTTCCTGACCCTCCTCCTTTAGGTCAATTCCTGTTATCTACTTTTACAGTGCCGTCTGCCTCCTCTGCTGTAGCACCTAGTTTACTTTCATTTATGTAAATTGATACCATTGTAAGATTCAAGAGAACCAAAACTATCTCTTTCTTTGTTTCCTCGCTTACTGTATCTCTAGCACTAACAGAGTGGCAGGCATATAGTAATTATTCAACAATCCTCTATTAAATCAACTAAATGAACTTTTTAACTGTGCCTTCGCTGCAAATCATTTGGTCCCCAATATAACAGTGGCTTGTTCATCCCTTGAGAAACATTGCTGTTGGATATTGCCTCCAATTTGTATTATATATCATCATGCAGTGTCCTCTGCATTATTCAAAAACTTTTAGTTAATTTCCATTACCTACTGAATACATTTCAAATTTATAATCTGGCATAATAGACCCTAGATAATCTAGTCTCAGTACTGTTTCATCAGTCTGTTCTATGACACTAACCAAACTGTATTTTTCCTAGTCTCCAAATAAGCATTGCTGTTAGGAGCTATCATTCAGTTCATTTAGTAAGTACCTTTACCAGACAATGGTCTAGGCCAATCCCATTCAGTAGAACTTTCTATTCTACTGTATATCTGTTCTGTTCTATGTATATTCTGTTCTCTGTATGTCCACCAGCTACGTGTGGCTGTTGAGCACCTGAAATGTTACTGGCCACATGTTGGATAGGACAGATCAAGGTAGTGGGTATTCTTTACCTTACCCTCATGGAGTTCATGTTCTGGCGTAGATAACAGTCAGTAAACAAATTTTGTCAGATGGTGATACATTCTATAGAAACAAATAAAATTGGGTAGACTGTATGAGGTGTGTGTTGGGTAGGACCGGGAATGTTGTTTATGTAGGATGGTCAGGGAAGGTGTCTCTGGTAAGCTGATATTTGAGCAGAGACCTGAAAGAAGTGATAGCGCAAGCCATATGGATGTATTTAGATGAACTCAGAAAGAGGGAGGGAACAGTATGTACAAACGCCCTGAGAAAAAAAAATTTTTTTAAATTTTTTCTAAATGCCCTGAGGCAGAAGCGTGCTTGGCATATTTGAGAAATAGCAAGACCAGTAGGCCTGGATTGAATTTACAGAGTAGAACAGCTAAGGACCAGACCATGAAGGGATTTATTGGCTGTTGGGGGGTAAGCTTTTACTTTGTGAGACAGGACACCATGGGAGGGTTTTCAGCAGAGGAGTTTCATGATCTTAGTCTTTAAGATCACTCTGGCTATCATGTTAAAAATAAATTTATATTCCAGAAATATCCTTTTTTCCACAAGACATATATTAAATTCTTTGCTTTCAAGTCTTAATTCAGAAGTCAACTCTTCTGCTTGCTTTTCCTAAGACTTGTTTTCTAGATGTGATTGTTCTCTTCTTAGCTTGTATCGTTAATAATCCTATAGATTCTATGTTTTGTTTTGTTTTTTCCAGTAGACTATAAATTCTCCAAGGACAGGGATTGTGGCTTGTATACACACAGTACCTGTAAGTGCTTGTTGATGGAATAGTTTTTTGTACTTATAACTGAAATCATGGAAACATTTTCTTGAATCATAACATGAAGTGGTATTTTGATGAAAATGTTATTCTATACTTGCTTTTATATTACATTTAAAATTCAGTAATTATAATAGCAACCATTTATATAATATTATGTGCTGAGTTTTTTCAAAGCATTTACCTATGTCCATTCTCTTAATCCTTACGTAACTCCATGAGCAGGTATTGTCATCACTTTATTCTAGATGGGAAGCTGAGGCAAATAATGGTTATGTAAATTTCCATATGGTTGCTCAGCTGTTAAGTGGCAGAGCCAGTATTTGAATTCAAGCAGCCTGACCTTAATACAGTTATTTTTTTTAATAGATCATAAACCAGTAGAATTTGAGAAACAATTTTGGGTACCAACATGGTATTGCCAACTATTAGGACATTTTTCAAAATTCTAACATTTATTCTGACCACCATTCCATTATTTAGGAAAGTTTTAAAATATGTAAAATTTTAATTTACATAAACTTCTTTTAAAATAGTATATGGTTATATTAATCCTTTAAAATTCATTTTTGTAGGAAGAGAGGCAAAATAATTAGCACATTAATCTAAAAATACTATGAGAATAACTTTTTTCCCCCCCCTGTTTAGAGCCTGTATATCATTGGGGTCAAGAACTCGAGCCATTGGAAATGCGGCTAAGAGCCAGGTAAATTGTTAATGTGCATGTTTTGACTCATAGGAAGAATGAACTGAATCTTGGTAAATAAATCTCCATGTTATGTAGTTAAGAGTGAGAAAAATATGAAAGATCCTAACATCTTTGTACTTTATTAGATATATTTTGCTTTGGTTGTAAAATATTTCTTGAATTTTATATTTTTATTTTATTTTTTTCAATAGTGAAGTCAGGGTGTGCTACCATGTAACATCAATTTTTCCCTATATGGTTACTTTCTATGTAGGATATTCTATCTGGAACATACATTTCAATGACAAGTCAGCTATGTCTGTGTAAAAGAAGGTGGGGAAAATAGAGGAACTAATTTTAGAGTAGCCCAATGTGGCAATCACTACTTTACATGGAGTCTGTTTAAATATTTATATTTCTAGGCTTCTGGAATGCTGAATATGAATAGAACATTGACTTTTAACATTACATATCATAGGTTGATTTTTCTTGGACTTTGTTTACTTCCCTGAACCAAAAGTATTTAATAATTACTTCTTACACTTTATATGTACTTGGGTCATCTTTTTTTCCGTATATAATAACTTTCTTTAGTGGGGCTTTTTTCTTCATGACTTTGTAGGGATAATTGACTAATTTATCCAGGAGTTTTTATTTACGATTTTTATCAAGTCCGTCTCTTACAATTGCCCTATACAGGGGGTCTTCAAAAGGTTTGTGGAAAGATTCACATTGTCTTTTAATTCTATTTTTCCATGAACTTTTTGAAAGTACCCTCATATATGAACATGTTACCTTCTCTTCTGCTTTCATATTGTACATAAACAAATGTTGGGTTTGTGCTGAAATGGCCCCTTCACTTAAATTTATATCTTATTTTCTGGATGATATTCTAAGTGTATCACAGATAGAATCTCTAAAAAAAAGCAACTTATAAAGTCATTTCTTCTAAAGAGCTGAAGAGACCAACAAGGTAATTCAGCATTCCTGTAGTTTTCATCTCATAATTGAAGATCATGATCTATTTGGCTTTAAAGATCACTAAGAGGACAGCAACTGCATCTCAGTAATATTCTGTAGTTTGAACTACATGTTCTAGTTAAAAAGTAAATCACTTTTCCAAAATACAAGCCACTTACAAAGTAAGACACTTTTAGCACCATGCTACATGAAAGTGGTTTTAGTTTACTACCCTAGGAGCAATTCTCAGCAATGGAACCAACATACTAGTGTACATAAAAAATTTCAGAAAGAATTAGATATTGAGAGGAAAAGAAAAACTGGACAATTAAAAACAGTTTAAATGAAAACAGAAATGAAACTAGAAAAATAAGATATTAATTCACTAGAGCAAACGTGTAGAGGAAAACCAAAGAGATGAGTTGTAGGTAGGTTTTCATTATATTATTTGAAAACTTTTAAAGTTTTATTCTTTCTCCTTTGAAAGATACTAATTTTGAACGTGACATTCCTAGAAAGGAGGGGAATTTGGTGGCCAATAGTTAAGATGTTCACCTTCTCATTGTATAACTTTACTATCAGTTGGAAACCAGAAAAAGGAATGATTACGTGTAATTCTGAACTTGGATGTGTAGGATAATGGGATTTGGTGGTTCTCAAGTATTAGGATAGTATTTTATTTTGCATTCATTAAATAATTGATTAATACAAGTGTTTACTGCCAACAGATAGTCACGAATGTAAGAAATACAATTCATGGCTTCAAAAAGTTTCATGGGCGATCATTTGATGATCCCATTGTGCAAACTGAAAGAATCAGGCTTCCCTATGAACTGCAGAAGATGCCTAATGGAAGTGCAGGAGTTAAGGTAAGCTTTATTCCCAGAGTACAAATATATCTTCAGATTAAACCGAATATGATAATATTGCTATTTGTAATTTGTAGTTTAACTTTTTTCCTCTGGCTACAGTACGTACACACCCAAGAGATAGGCAGTTTTTGTAATTTTAGTGAGTGCAAAAATATTGTAATTTAGATAATAGTACTTGCAATTCAAATAATACTTTTATTGTCAAAGAAAAAATGTTATTTGGAGAACTCTAACCAGGTGAGCAGTTTTTAGGGGATAAGGTAGATGTATATGTGATTTACAAGAATAGACCCAAAAAGTATGTTAATTGTTAGAGTTTTTAATTTAGAAAGAATCTTAAAACATATTAGAAATATTAAAGTAAACTTTTCTTCCAAGTATTAGATGAATTCTGGATTTTTTTTTTCCTTTGGTGACTGGCCAGTACCTTGGTGTTATAAGGCTGTGCTCTACCAACTGAGCTAAGCTGGCCAGATCTGGATTCTAGATTTTTAATTCTACATTCCAAGGCAGTAAGTCAGATTGGTTAAGAAAAACATTTGTGGTGATTTTTTAAAAACTACCAGAATACCTTAAAACATGTTGTTACTATATGACCTACCAAGTCCACTCCTAGGTATATACCCAAGAGAGTTGAAATGTAAATCCACACAAAAACTTGTACGTGAATGTTCATAACAGCATTGTTCATAATAGCCAAAAAGTGAAAACAATCCAAGTATCCATAAACTGATGAGTGGATAAGCAAAATGTGGTATATCTATACAATGGATTATTATTTGACCATAAAAAGGAATGAAGTATTGATATGTGCTGCAACATATATGAACCTTGAAAATATGCCAAGTAAAAGAAGCCAAATACAAAAGGCCACATACTATATGATTCCATTTATATGGAATGTCCAGAATAGGACAATTTCATAGAGAAAAAGTAGTTTAGTGATTGCTAAGCGTTTATGGTGAAGGGGAAATGGGAGGTGACTGCTAATAGTTACAGTGTTTCATTTTGGGTGATGAAAATGTTCTACAATTAGATAGTGGTGATCATTGCACAACTTGTGAATATACTCAAAACCATTAAACTGTATACTTCAGAAGGATGAACTTTATGCTGTGTGCATTATATATTGATAAAGCTATTTTTAATAACTAAATTTGATATGTGTGTTATGGATATGTACATATTTCCATTTTTAGAAGAGGGTTCTGACTACAAAATGGATGATGAATTCTAATAAGGAGACAGGAGGCTGCAACAATAATTCAGGGAAGACATCATGAGTGTTAAAGATAAGGAAACAAATTGCAAAGCCATATTTTAGGTGAAATTTGTGGGTCAAGGGTTATTATCTGGGAAGCTGAATGGGTGATGATAGCAACACATGAGATAAAAATAATATTCAGATGTCCCTTAGATATGATAAGCTTTGGTAATGATCACCTGGAGTAGTTTTATTGTATTCCAGTTTAGAATTTAAGCTATTTAAATTCTTTTGCTTCTACTCTTTAAAATGAAAATAAATAGATCATGCTTTGGGAATAGGTTGAGGAAAAACAAAATAAATGTTTTTGAAGAAAGCCAAAACCTGATTTTTGAGTGGAACGATTTTTAAAATTTTATTTTGTTCTGTTTTAGCATTTATTTGTACATATTTCTCAGGTACAGTGTGTTGTTTCAGTACACACATTGATTCACTTCAAATAAACAGCATAGCTTTGTACACATTTAGTCCACCATTGCCCTCCCCTCCTCCCCAGCCGGCCCCATCCCTCCTGGCCTCTCTCATAACCATTACTCTACTCTCTACTTCTATGAGAACCACTTTTTTTTTAGATTCCATATATAAGTGAGATCAGACAGTATTTGTCTTTCTGTGCCTGGCTTACCTCACTTAAAATGGTGGTCTCCAGTCGTATCCATGTTGCTGTAAATGACAGGATTTATTCTTTTTTAAAAAATAGCTAAATAGTATTCCATTATGTTTATGTGCCACAGTTTTTATTCATTCACCTATTGATGGGCATTTAGGTTGGTTCTGTTACTTGGCTATTGTGAATAGTGTTGCTATGAACATGGGAGTGCAGGTGTCTCTTCAATATATTGATTTCATTTCCTTTGGGCATAAACCCAGTAGTGGGATTGCTGGGTCATAAGGTAGTTCAATATTTAGTTCTCTGAAGAACCTCCATACGGTTTTCCACAATGGCTGTGCCAATTTGCATTCTCACCAACAATGTAGGAGGGTTCCCTTTTCTCTGCATCCTCAACAGCATTTATTTTCTGGATTTTTTATAATAGCTATTCTAACTGCAATAAGATATCTCATTATGGTTTTAATTTGCATTCGCCTGATGAATAGTGATTTTGAGCATTTTTCATGTGCCTGTTGCCTATTTGTATGTCTTTTGAGAAATGTCTATTCAGATTCTTTGCCTATTTTTTTAATTGGGTTATTTGGTTTTTTGCTGTTGACTTGAGTTTTTTTTTATATATTCTAGGTATTAGCCCCTTGTCTGATGTATAGTTTACAGACACTTTCTCCTACTCGGTAGGTTGTCTTCTAACCTTGTTGATTGTGTCCTTTGCTGTGCAGAAGCTTTTTAGTTTGATGTAAGTCCCATTGGTCTATTTTTGCTTTAGTTCAAGTCTTGTTCAAAAAAGCGCTGCCTTTTCCTGTTTTGTGTAGTGTTTCCCCTATGGTTTCTTCTAGTAGTTTCATAGTTTTGGGTCTTAAAGTTAAGTCTTTAATCTATTTTGAGTTGATTTTTGTGTGGTGAGAGATGGAGGTCTAGTTTCAGTCTTCTGCATGTGGATAACCAGTTTTCTCAGCACCATTTATTGAAGGCTGTCCTTTCTCCATTGTCTATTTTTGGCACCTTTGTTGAAAATTAGTTGGGTATACATGTGTGGATTTATTTCTGGGCCCTCTATTCTTTTCCATTGGTCATTTTGTGCTTTTTTATGCCAGTACCATGCTGTTTTGGTTACTATAGTTTTACAGTATATTAGGAATCAGGTAGTATGATGCCTACAACTTGTTCTTTTTCTTTAAGGTTGCTTTGGCTGTATGGGGTCTTTTGTGGTTCCATACAATTTTTAAGATCTTTTTTTCTATTTCTGTGAGGAATGTCATTGGTATTTTGGTAGGGATTGTGTTGAATCTGTAGATTACTTAGGGTAATATGGACATTTTGATGATATTCTTCCAATCCATGAACAGGGGATATATTTCTATTTATTTCTGTCTTCAATTTCTTCACCAATATTTTATAGTTTTCATTGTAGAGATCTTTCACCTAACTGGTTAAATTTACTTCTAGGTATTTCATTTTCTTGGTGGCTATTGTGAATGGGATTACTTTCTTGATTTTTGTCTTCAGATATTTGGTTATGGTCATATAGAAACATTATTGAATTTTGGGCCGGCCCGGTGGCTCACTGCTACAGTGCGCCACTTGGGAGCATGGCGGCGCTCCGGCTGAGGGTTCGGATCCCACATACAGATCGGCCACTCACTGGCTGAACGATGTTATGGTCATATAGAAACATTATTGAATTTTGGGCCGGCCCGGTGGCTCACTGCTACAGTGCGCCACTTGGGAGCACGGCGGCGCTCCGGCTGAGGGTTCGGATCCCACATACAGATCGGCCACTCACTGGCTGAACGAGCTGCGGGCGCAACACCGAGGGTTGCAATCCCGTTGCCGGTCCCGGTCCAGTACGGGCGTGACACTGAGGGTTGCGATCTGTTGCTGGTCACGAAAAAAGACAGAAAGGAAAAAAAAAGAAACATTATTGATTTTTGTGTGTGGACGTTGTATCCTGCCACTTTACTGAATTCATTTATTCTAATACTTTCTTGGTGGAGTCTTTAGGGTTGTCTATGTATACGATCATGTCATCTTCAAGTAGGGATATTATTGATTTTTGTGTGTGGACGTTGTATCCTGCCACTTTACTGAATTCATTTATTCTAATAATTTCTTGGTGGAGTCTTTAGGGTTGTCTATGTATACGATCATGTCATCTTCAAGTAGGGATACAATTAACAGAGTGAAGAGACAACCTATAAACTGGGAGGAAATATTTGCAAGCCATACGTCAGATAAGGGGTTAATATCCAAAATTTATAAGGAGCTCAAACAACTCTATAGAAAGATTAAACGGGCGAGGGATAGAATTGAATGGACATTTATCAAAAGAAGAAATACAAATGGCCAACAGATATATTAAAAAATGCTCAACATCACTAATCATTAGGAAATGCAAATTAAAACCACAGTAAGACATCAACTCACACCAGTCATAATGACTATTATCAAAAGGATGAAAGATAACAGGTGTTGGTGAGGATATGGAGGAAAGGGAATCCTCTTTACACTGTTGATGGAAATATAAATTAGTATAGCCATTATGGAAAACTGTGGAGGTTTCTCAAAAAACTAAAAATAGAACTGCCACATGATCTAGCAATCTCACTTGTGCGTATTTGCTCAAAAGATTAGAAATCAGTATGTCAAAGAGATGCCTGTCAGCATTCTCACATTCATTGCAGCACTATTTACAATAGCCAAGTTATGGAATCAACCTACATGCCCATAAATAGATGAATGAAGAAAATGGGATATACAATATATACACAATGAAATACTATTCAGCCTTAAAAAAATTTTTTGTCATTTGCGATAACAGGGATGGAAGTGGAGACCATTATGCTAAGTGAATAAGCCAGGAGCAGAAAGATAAATACTACATGTTCTCACTCATGTATAATCTAAAACAATCAAACGCAAAGAAGCAGAGTAGAATTGTGGTTGCCAAAGGCTGGGGGGTGTGGCGTAGGGGGTGAAGAGTGTGAGATGCTGGTCATAGCACACAAAGCCTCAATTAGACAGGAGAAATCAGGTTTGTTATTTTTTTTTTGGTGATATATCACACAGCCTGGTGAATATAGTAAATAATAATGTATAGTACATTTCAAAATTGCTAAGAGA